GATTTTAGACAGTAGACGAAGTTGATAAAAACTGGATCCGATAACGGAGGAGATATGTTTATCAAATTTTATTTGCTGGTCGACAAGAACACCTAGGTTCCGCAACTGTGAAGATCTAAAAACAGATAAACTGTCCAAATCAGGGCGAATATACTGAGAATTCTCATTAGAACCAAAAACAATTACTTCGGTCTTGTCTTCATTTAGGGAGAGAAAATTTTGGGCGAGCCATAATTTAACCTCCTCTAAGCATTGCTGAAGAGAGGTAATCACTGCAGAATTGTTTCTTTTGATTGGTAGATAGATTTGAGTATCATCTGCATAGAAATGAAAAGAGACACCATGTTTCCTTAGAATAGAGCCCAGAGGTAGCATGTAGAGAGAAAATAGAGAAGGAGCTAATATAGAGCCTTGCGGTAGGCCACAGGTCAGAGGTGCATTGGAAGAGGTAAAATTACCCAGCTTCACTAAAAACTTTCTGTCAGACAGGGCAAGTGAGGCATTCCTTTAAATTTATCCTTATGTGATCTGAAAAAAAGGGTATACTGCTTTAGAACAACACAAGGGTGAGTAAATGATGACTTAATTTTCATTTTTGGCTCAACTATCCCTTTAAAGGCTGAACCAGAATATAGACCTTAATCTGAAAATGTTGTGTATGTAAACATGGTCACTGTGGTGAAATATATTGGTGAGCATGTTGAAGAACAAGCTCTTGTCTCATTACACTCCCCCCTGCGTGTGCCTTCGTCCTCTCCCGGCCGAGTCGTAGTTCCCAGAGCTTTCCAATGTGGAGTCGGCGCTCCTTCAGAGCAGCATTATTGCCTCGGTAAGGATTACAAAGCAGGACAATGGATTTATGGACATTGATTGCGCTACTGCTCGGCTACCACACTTGCAGCTCAGAGACGTGCACGAGGGGAAAGAGGTGTAAACAAAGGCCTAGTAGAGGGCCCCACAGTTGGAAATATTTCCTGCGTTGACCGTTGAAGGCGCGTCACCTTGACTACCAGCCTGTCACTGGCTGCCCTGCAGGGCCGCGGAAGGAACAGCCACGTCCTGATGTGAGACAACCTGCCTGGACCGCGGGAAAAACAAGTGTCTTAGCTGTATATTACCCTCAGACAGTCTGGCACATACACGCATATACACACCACCTCTACTCCGGTCCCTCCTGGCTGTCTCTGGACTTTTTTTTTTTGTCTTATTGACAGCGTGGCTGTGGTTGGGTTGCTGCGCTGTGACAGTCAGCCTCAGAAGATCAATTTTTAGCACTTGTCACTACCAAGGAAAGCCAAGTAAATCAGCCAAGTGAAACCAAAGGGGCGAACAAAGAGAAAAAGGAAGTGACCTCATAACTCTCAGGCACCACCATCCTGAATGATAAATCACATTGAGTGTGTTTGGCGATACGCAACGCTGTTTCCACCCTTCCTCGCTTTACACCGAAAGGGGCAACAATGGATCCTTAATGAAAATCAGCAGGCAGAGCGCGGGAACACAGACGCCGACGCTGATGGCCATCAATTTCCCATTTGCAGTCACGAGGAGAAAAAACTAACAGTGTTTGCATATCTGATTAATGCATAAATCAGATCTTGATTTTTCATTTGGAAATCCTTCAGGAAGACGAGAAAAACAGCAAAACAAGCCAAATGCAGACAAACAAAAGCGGTGGTGTAGGCGAAGTGTAACGAGCCCCTTCAACTTAATGTGCTTTGGGTTTCTATCAATTAAGCTGTTTGCCCTCAGCAATCTACAGAGCTTTTTAATCCAAAGTTTTCATGGTTTCCTGTCATATAATTTAGTTTTTTTTAAAGCCCCTATATTTCCGTTCCACTAGCTGCACCAAACAAAACTGCAAAAATAGCTTGATTTGAATATTTTCTGAAAAAAAAAATATGAGTGGTATTTGCCTGTGCAAATTTGCCACCACAATGCTTTGGAGTTTCATAGGAATGGCTTACTTATAGTTAGCCAAATGCAGACAAACAAAAGCGGTGGTGTAGCGGTGGTGTAGGCGAAGTATAACAAGCTCCTTCAGCTTAATGTGCTCTGGGTTTCTATCATATAATCTGGGTCTCTGTCATATAATTTAGTTTTTAAAGCCCCTATATTTCCGCTTCACTAGCTGCACCAAACAGAACTGCAAAAATAACTTGATTTTAATATTTTCTGAAGAAAATGTGAGTGGTATTAGCCTATGCAAATTTGCCACCACAATGCTTTGGAGTTTCATAGGAATGGCTTACTTATAGTTGACTCTGTATAATAACAAGCCCCTTCAGCTTAATGTGCTCTGGGTTTCTATCAATTAAGCTGTTTGCCCTCAGCAATCTACAGAGCTTTTTAATCCAAAGTTTTCATGGTTTCCGGTCATATAATTTAGTTTTTAAAGCCCCTATATTTCCGCTTCACTAGCTGCACCAAACAGAACTGCAAAAATAACTTGATTTTAATATTTTCTGAAGAAAATGTGAGTGGTATTTGCCTATGCAAATTTGCCACCACAATGCTTTGGAGTTTCATAGGAATGGCTTACTTATAGTTGACTCTGTATATTAATCTGAGTTAAAAGCATATTTAAAAAAAATTATATCAGCTTTGAGTGCTGTTTAGCTCTGACTCATTTCAGCAGTGATCTAGTTTTGATTTGTTGCTCATGCTATTGTTGCTTTTCTCTCCGCTAGCTGTGAAGCTTTTGTCACTGCCTGCCTTGAGACTGTATGAATTTTACGAGGTCTCTTTTATAGAGCTGTGTCTCACAGGATGACATATACATGGCATCCTGACTTCTGCTTTAGTAGCACACCGCAGATCAAAGAAACAGCTTCTCCGTTTTATTTTTACTTTTACATCCTCTCTGTTGTAGTCTGTGTTTTTGTTAGATTTGCAGTTGCACTTGGGTGTTATATCAGTATCAAACCCCACAGAAAGAGTGGGAGCTAAGACAAGTCCCAACATCTTGCTTGAACCTCATATCAAACACATCATATCATATTTCTGGTGAACTCTGTTAAAACATGTACATTGTAGCCAAAAGGTCAAGGTTTGTGTCCCAAACGGTGCACTATACTATGCACTCCTACTATGCACTGCTGTCTATTGTATGAATTTTATTTTAAGGTTATTTTGTCATCCAACATCGGAGTCCTTCCTCCTCCGGTACATAAGGAAAGCTGCGACAGCTGAGTGCATGAAGTGTCTATATTATTTAGACCCTCTCTTTGCTTTTTTTATAGACATCCTTGATTGTAGCAGTCAACATTTTGTATAGCAGTAGTGCGTCTAAAACATTTCTCTCTTGTTCTCTCTCTGTGCAGGAGGAACAAAACCGAGGCAAACCCAACTGGGAGCATCTGAATGAAGACCTCCATGTGCTCATCACGGTGGAGGACGCCCAGAACCGGGCTGAGATCAAGCTCAAGCGTGCAGTGGAGGAGGTTAACAAGCTACTCGTGCCTGCGGTGAGTGCCACTGCTCACCTGCTTACACGCTTCCATTCTCCTCATTCTAGTTGCAAAACTCTTGAATATAATGCATCATGCTTATTTAGGCTTTCTGATGTTATATGTGTCAAAATGACGGGAGATGGGCTTTTGAAGTTATATGCCATGGGCTTTGTTGAGGTTTGAAATAATTTCCACACAATAAATTGGCCCCTTCAAACATCAGTACAGGTTCTGTTCACAGGCTGTGTGTGTTTATGCGGTTTTATAATGTGTCTCACTGCAATGTTTAAATACTCACATAATTTGCAGCTTTTCATTCACCTTATTATATTCAACTCCTTAAGTGCAAATATAATATACAGTATTCATCAGCACTTGCCCTTTAGAAACCCAAATATCACTGATTGATTTTGTGACAATTTACTGGACACCAAAACAGAAATGTTCCAGACAGCTTCAATCAGTAAATAAAGCTGTTTTAATTCACATTATTCATATTTGTAACAGGACAGATTGTTATGACATCATGCAAAGAGTATTCAGATTTCTGGGTCCATCAGACAAGCTGTTTTTTGTGACTAAGCATGATATAGCACATTATTGTTTGTTGTTTTTACTTATTATAAAGTGATTCCTAACTTGATACAGTATTTGTAGTATTTGGATTTGTTGGTCATGTAGCAGGTTACACACTCTTAAATATATACCAAAACTGCTTAAACAGACATTTCTCTAAATATGGAGAAAATAGTCCAAATTTGGTATTTTTTTTAGCTTTACATCTGCTGGTTTTGATTGCTCAAGTTACTTAAACTTTTGCTTGATTTTCATTGACATATGATTTCATAAAGATGCAGTATGTGCCACGGTGAAAGAGATACTGGATCTAGTTAGATAATGTGTTCTTATATTAGTAATATTATTAGTAACATTTGTGTATTAGTAATGTTCTTTTATTAGTAACAGTCACAGCACATTAGGACGTGTGTATCTATGATTGCATGCGGCCCTTAAAACATTTTCCTCTTTCGTTTCCTTTGCTTTTGGTGTCACTTGATGAGTGGGAAGTGAAACATTCTCCAAACACTCTCCTGACAAATAAGAAGTGCTGTGCTTGTCCGGTGTGGTTGAGTAATCAGTCACTCGAAACATTCTCTAAGCTTACCGTTGCATCATTGCCATTTAACTTTGTATGAAAGGGTTGGAAGAACAGGGTCAAGTCAGCCTGTATGGTCATAAATTAAAGTATTTTAAGTGCTAGAAATGTCAGTGAGGCAGTTGGAATATAAAAGAATACACACTACTGTAGCTCTGTTTAGCTAAGCAGCGTTTTAAGGCATCATAGATGTACTTCCAACCAAAAACTGTTCCAAACAGTATGCAGCTAAAGTATGAAAGTCAAGAGAAATGTTGATTGTAAATAATGTATTCTATTCAGTGCTTAAAATGAGTGTTGGTCTAATTAAACTGCACTATTTTTGTTATTATTAATCTACTTTTAAAGGGTTGCCAACTTCAGAAAAGACAAATAAGGGACAATTGTGACTCTTTATAGGAAAATAAGGGACAGAAAAAGGGATGCTCAGAATATTTGTACCACATAGTGTATGTCATTTCCGTGTCTGCAGTTAAGTATTTGTATAAAAGTTTCCCAGAAATAATCACAATTGTTTTGCTTATCCTATTTATGTACAATAAAGTTTTTTTTAATAAAGTTACATTTTTGATCTAAAATGTTATTGCAACTATGTAGCCAATGAATTAATGAAAATGCATATTTTTCAATTAAAGCATAGAGCATTGCATGCCAATCACTCATGAACCGTTCCACGATGGTTAGGATGCTGTCTTAGAAGGTATCTGCATATAGACAGTATACAGTGAGGGCAGTTGGGCACTCTGGAGTTTTGTTTAATGTACCTGAGATGGATAGATAATAATACACAGCAAATGTTGAGCTTATAGATTCCAGAGGCAACATTCTATTGTTCTCTAACGCTAGTGTTTTAGGATTTATGAGGTCACATGACCTTAAAAGTCAAGTCATGTGATGAGAAAGTGCATTGAGGTCACGGCCTTTAGTTTAAACCGTACGAACTGTTGTAGACTGATTCCAAAGCTCTGAGAGTCTACTAATGACTACTGCATGACCAATGAGTCCTACCTCAATTATTTAATTAGCCTTGGGGCATTCATGAAGTGCTGAGGATTCAGATGCTCACTGCTTACTCTGTGTTGCATTGTTGCAAAATGTACCATGGTGACCATAGTCCTGATAAGATACTGTAGTAACCAGTGGAGCACTTCCCCACAAACCATGAAACTGGGCCTTGCATGCATGAAAGTTTACAGTAGGGATGAAAACAGGGATGTAATTTTGGCCAGTCTAGCCTCATCCAGCCTAAGGTTTCCTTTGCTCTGCTGTGCTTCCTGTGTACATATGTGTATGCCACTTTACAAATTGTTGTGGTATAAATGCTGCTTATTATGTGGCAGTTGTTGTATTTTGGTCAGAACTGCAGCATATTGCAATGTTTCTCAAACCTGGTAGTGAAGTAACCCCAAAAGTACACATTTTGGATATCTCTATTATCTGGCATAGCCATTTAATGTCTTGGTGTCTTTTTTAACGAGCTGATGAGTAGATTCAGGTGAGTTTGATTAGGGAAACATACAAAATGTGCAGAGTTGGGGGTATTTCATGACCTGGGTTGAGAACCAGTGATATAGACGGGTAGTATATGTGCTAATGACATTCAACAGGGGTGGCCAACTTCGGTCCTGGAGAAACATTATTTTGAAAAGTGGATATCTGGAGCAGAAAACAAAGTAATTGAATTTCACCTCAGACCTTGCATCCATGGATTTTCTTTGTGTAACTCACTGCAAGGCTCAGAGAAATGTCCGCTAGAAAGACAAGTAAGGTGTGGGAGCTATTTACCAGTTTAAAGGGGAAAACATGCATGAAAGGGAACTGATTTTGTTCAGAAAAGTTTTGTTGACTTTTTTAATGTTATCTCTGCATAATGCGTTATACATTAGTGTTTATAAGTGCAACGCTGCTTTGTTTACACAGCAACCATTGCAACTGCTGTATTTCCGCTTGTCCAAAAGCACCAACTGAGATTGAATTTGCATTTTCATTAAGCTTGACTATTTTATATGGATCGTGTATACACACAAATTGTTTTGACGGTCTTCTGAGGGTTTCTTACTTTAGACTAGTGGACTAGTCAGTTACAAAATTTCAGTTTTAATGGTGGTGAAATCAGTCATACTGCACATCCCTAGTTAGCACCAAAGTGGTTTACTGGATAGTTTTTATATTATGCGATTTGTTTTTGTTAGTCACAGCGTTTATAAAATGCTACTACTGACCGTGCAAGCCGAATACAATCATGGCAGGTTGCAGGATGACCAGTATATCATGTGGCCACCGGAGGAAAGATGATATGCTATTGCTTCAATTGGCTGTCATGGCAAATGCCAACACCTTCAATAAACTCAGTGAGAACAGTCACACCTCCGCAGTCAGTGGACCTACACTTTGGGTCTCAGAGTGGACACAGTCTACAGCTACTACTGCAACAACAAGTCAAGTCAAGTCACCTTTATTTATATAGCGCTTTTAGCAATACAGATTGTGTCAAAGCAACTGAACAGCATTAATTAGGAAAATAGTGTGTCAATAATGCAAAATGACAATAGTAAACACTCATGTTTCAGTTAAAGATAGTTCATCATTGAATTCAGTGATGTCATCATCCAACTCAGTTCAGTTTAAATAGTATCTTTGCAATCATATGCAATCAAGTCAACGATATCGCTGGAAATGAAGTGTCCCCAACTAAGCAAGCCAGAGGCGACAGCGGCAAGGAACCAAAACTCCATCGGTGACAGAATGGAGAAAAAACCTTGGGAGAAACCAGGCTCAGTCGGGGGGCCAGTTCTCCTCTGACCAGACGAACCAGCAGTTCAATTCCAGGCTGCAGCAAAGTCACATTGTGCAGAGGACTCATCTGGTTCCTGTGGTCTTGTCCCGGTGGTCGTCTGAGACAAGGTCTTTACAGGGGATCTGTATCATAACCAGCATAACATTTAACCTGATCCTTCATCTAAGAGCAATTCCCTTGTAGCTAACTCCCAGACAGCCCACAGAGAGGCCGCCCCTTCCTTATCAATCCCAGCCCTGCTGCTGCTGTGTATGATGTCCGACAGTACCCTCCCACATCCCAAGGTGAAATCCATTAACACCTCTGTGTTTGCCTACAGGGACTTTTCTTTGTCAAATAGATGGAGGGAGGGATTTTTTTTCTTTTCTGTTTGTGCTAAGATAACAGCCACTAGTGTTCTGCTCCAACTTCTGTAAAGATCTTTATAATTCCTGCTGAAATTTGCATACTGATTGTTCGCAACTTGTGGCATTTGAGCTGCATGCTCTGCTTCTCCACATGTGGGTGGGGCTAGCAGCGCACCATTGGTGTTTGTGGAAAATGTCCTTTTTCAACAAAATACTGTATATATCAGGCCATTACCACGGTGAACTGAGTTGCATTATAATGCAGATATCAGGGGGTCACCTGCTGGATTGCCAGTCTACCTTCTGGGGCAAGGTAGCAACCAAGGCACTTTATAGCAGCACACCAGGAGTAATCAACTTGGCATATCAGAGTCATCTATTTTAAATCATTATCTACATCACCACCATTCTCATCATCATAATCAGCAGCACTGGCAGTAGTGGCAGCAGTTGGTGTGGTGCACACAGGAAGCCAGTGGCCAGCAGGATACTGCTAACTCAGTCAAAAGCAATTATCATCAATGGCTTTGTGACAAATATATAAAAGCCTTCGCTTCACAATTGCATCTGATTGTGCTGACTAAGGCAAGGTCTCACCAGAGTCCCCTGAGCTCCTCTGTCTCTCATATGCAGGAAGGAAAGCTCGTTTACATATTACTAGTGGCAACATGCTGATCTTTTCAATGAAAGTGAATGACGACTAGTGGCTGCTGAG